ATGTCGAAAGATGGAATGTCGAGAGATGGTCGAAAGATGTCGCCTATGCACGTAACACTGAAAGCGGGTGTAAATGGTATCAATTTGGAGAATGTTATACATATTATTGTTATTATGTTATACATGTTATACAAAGTTCCCTTGGAATGGTGGATCCAGAAATCATTGCACTGAACCCCAATAGGCAGAACATTTTCTACACATGTTCAGCACGACCACACACTGGTGACATAGTGGAGGGGACGGAAGACGAGCAGCCATTTTGAAATTCGTTGAGGAGAAGGCCCTGGGGACGAGGTTGACTGTCAACCCATTTATTGGCGATACGAAGTGGCCTCTGTCGCAGTCACCCGCGTCACAGCTCAATGGTAGCGCTGATAACCTCAGTTTAGGTATTGCAAGTAGAGTGTTTTGGTCAATAAAGACTAAATAAAGACGTTATTCTAGACCCAACAGCGCTCTGTTTCAATAATTCGGCAAAGGGTGGATAGCACAACTTGAATTGGACTAAATGCTGCTTGAAGAATTTTGAGAACTACGTGAAAATTATTGCCTCGTCTCTGTGCCACGGAATTCTCAAATCATGTGCATGACGCTTTGGCGTCACAAAATACTGAGGAACTATTCCTACCTACCTTATTCAACAATTCAAAACGGTTTCGCTCTACCAACACTAAAGCTAGATGAAAAACGTTGCACATTTCCACTATATGGACGTAGCTATCCACCTAATTCAAGGCAGGGGACTTGGAAGTTGTCCTAGTTTAATACAGTTTAAATTGTTAAAAAGGTTAGGTTGTATGCTGTATTTTGACACAAGAATATGACATGATATGCCAATTCCCTGGCCAGCGGTCGTCTACAACACACGACTTTAGGCAGTTCTAGTAGGAAACAGTTTCCAGCACTTATATTTTGATGGGTCGTTGTAACCACTCTTTATCACTTGATGCTACAATCATGGTATCAAAAAACTGCTCAAACATTCGTGAACTATTGTTATCATTCTCGTGACACAATAGGTTACCATAGCAACAATATTACCTCCTATAATTCAAAAACGGAAGGGTGAATTTTTTTTATATTATCAAATTCTAATAAGCATGATAAGACGCAACTTTTGGCAAAGTTTTAAAAATTTTGTACATAGGGTTCAGAGCCACTTTAAGGTTTTGAAAATTTAAGGTGGCTCTAAACCCTAAGTACAGAATTTTTTAAAACTTCGCGCGTACTCATTTCGCGAAATTTCGGGAGCTGAATTTTCTGAATATTAATTTTCGCGACTCCGAAGAAAAAAAAAGGAAAAAGTAGATTTAATTTCACGGTTTTGCCATTACTTTAATCCACCTAATCCTAATCTGAGAGCCTTGTTTCACTTTAAGGAGCCTACGAATGGAAAATTTGACAACTGTCCTGAAGGGGTTTTGGCGGATTTACAAGCTCAAGATAACTGGGTATTGAAGGAAGAGCGATAACTAGTTGAAAACTAACCATAAAGACTATATTTTTAAGGACAGAAATTGAACAATATTACTACTAACGAGCCCGTGACAAAGAGCATTTAAAATCCATGCCTTTTATCAAATTTAGCGTTTTTAATTTTCGAGCACCCATTTTTTTGTGAATATAATTTTCGCGATTTTTTTCCAAAGAGCGAAATTCACGAAAAATAGTACGCGCGAAAATTCGTAAAAATAAGGTAAACAGCCAGAGATTAGAGAAGCAATCTGATAAGACAACGACGAGTGTCTACTAGAAGAGTACGGGCTAAGCGTGAACTAATTGTTAATTATTTCTTCTCAGTGTTGGCATCAATACAGTAACATGCTTGGTGGATGGACATTAACCATGAACACTCAATCACTACTACTGCTGCTACTGCTGCTACTGCTGCCAGCGATCTTCATATCTGAAACAAACAAAAAAAAAGAACCATTGCACAGCCTGTGAAGGACAGTTAACGGGAAGCTGAGTTGACGCTAAGTGAACAGTTAGCGAGGCGCAGTCGAGTTAGAGTGTATTATATCAAACACAAAAGACCGTGAATTAAAATCGTAAAAATCCATGCTTATTAAGATCAGATATCCATACGTGTTACGCTTACTTCATGTCCACCGCACTAAACCACCTCTGTGGGTCTCCGAGGATGCAGAATAAAAGCGATCCATACCGCACATTTGTATAAAAATGCTCAAGGCCTTGACAGCACGAAGTCTCTACAAAAACGACTGATGACCATTATTCACCCAGCATGATCCCTAACAAGCTTTTTTTACGAGATTTATAGCATGACTGAAAACGTTTGAGAAGAACCTCACCGCGATCACTAGAAAGAGAGCCGACTTTCCATTTTCTTAGGTCTGACGTTTTCAAAACAAAAAGGAAAAGAAAATTCGAGCTGAATGAAGAGAGGCCGAGCAGCTTTTGTGAAAAGTTAGCATTAAAAAATATAAGATCATTCTGGACAGTGCCAAGTCAATACTTGGTAAATACTGGACCGGCAATAGAGCAATTTAGTAGGTTCGTTTAACACACAGTAAAAATGTGTTTTTTTACGAACTGGCGTCTCAAAATCTCAATTAGTGAACGCTATTATTGTAAAATACCCGGAGAAACACGGCTGTCATGAGACAATAATCATCAAATTACCAATATAGTTAACAGTAAAAAATTTGTGCTCCTGACATGTTAAAAGTAGGTCATATTAACTGTTACATTACAACTGTCTGCTAACAACAAAACCGACTTCAAAGTTTTTTCGCATAATCTTTTAAAAGTTGTCATTGACGTTTTCGTGGTCAGTGACTGAAAGGAGCTCACATTAAAAATTATCTTAGCCTGCGTAGCATGCGTTCTCGTACGAAGAGCTTCTCTGCATTCTGGCCGCGCGTAAATTGGAGCGAGAGCAAAAAATCAACGAAGCAGGGGCTGGTGGGGCCCACCACCCTCTGCTTCGTCAATTTTTTGCTCTCGCTCCAATTCACGCGCGGCCAGAATGCAGAGAAGCTCTTCTACGGGATCGCTTGCTACGCAGGCTAAGATTCTCTTTAGCATTGTACCTGCTGTGATGACCACCCTTTCCCTTGCTCGTCTGGTCTTGTGTACTCTGTAATGCAGGCCGTAATTCAATGCAAACAAATGCTCATCATGCTTAGGGTCACAGCAGACCCAGTAATGACCTTCCCATGAACTGGTCCGCCAACAGCGACCCTTTCGCAAGACTTTCTTTTTCTCACGGCGACCTTGAGGGGTGATCCACTCCAACTGAACTTCTTGCTTTGCACGGTTAACAAACTTTACTTCCACTGGAATGCTCACCTGAGCATCTGATTTTAGCTTGTTTACAGAACTTCCTGTCAAAATAAGGAAAACAGTACTTATTGAAATGTTAAACATGACATGTAAGAATATAAAATGGGATGATTTGGATCTGAAAATTTTCAGTTTTTCACAAGTCACTTTTCCTCAAGTTTAGGGGTTTTTTCATGAATTGTCACATATTTCAGCCCCTGCCAAAAATATACAACCTTTCAAATTAGAGTATAGGCAGCTCGTGTTTTGCCTCATAAATCACCTGACCGCATGGTGCCTTTATATACGGATCTGACTAGCTGTGAAAGAATGCAACATAAATCCTGCAGGGCGGAGCATTTTATGAAAGAGAATTGCCAAGCTGTTCTGCAATTGCCATTTTTCAACAACGGATAAGGAATTCTTTCTCCTCTACTGTAGTCTATGTATTCCTCTGTTTTGTTGGTGTCTTTGCTGGCGTTTTTGAGCACTGAGAAATCATTTTGTTGGCCAGCGAGAGAATGGCCTCCTACGCAGATATTCTTTGGGCTTGTCACGTAATCTTCCTCCCCAGGAAGACTGCGTGACGAGCCCATCGAAAGTCTACGTAGGAGGCCAGCGAGAGAGTGGTCAGTGACTCAAACCCATACCCAGAGCCCGTATGTTGTTACGCATGCGCACTTACAGTTCTCGACGTCTTATTTTGCACGCGAAAGCATTTATACGAGAAAGATCACGTCTTATTTAAGACGCGGACAAAAAAAGAACAGGTGAGAACCCTGTTCTACGATAAAACGCGTCTAAAACAAGACACTTATTTTGTACCGTTTCAACGATCAGTTTGCGTTTTACTTAAGTCGCGTCTTATTATCTCCCGTATAAATGGCCCTGCTATCTTACACTAAGTGCTGTCGCACTTCAAAAGTCCCACTTCTGGGTCCTCTGGGTTTTACACTGGGTTAAGACAGTAAAGATTCATTGCTTTGCAGTAATGCATTATCCTTCGCCCTCTGCTATCGAAAAGTAAATTGCGCTCTGCTTTGTGTGCTGGATCAGATTTTCTTCCAGTTTAAGAAACAAAACATCACTTTCTGTGTTCTTCCTATGACGAATTAGAGCTACCGTGTAGACTGGTCGAGAAAACTCTAGTTAACTGTACGTGTACATCATAGTGAAACATGTTGCAGTATGCATCATACCTGTTGGTTTCTTGATTTCAACTTCCAAATGATTGCCGCCATGTTTGTGCGGGAATGCATAAAACACTGGACTGCCATTAATCAAGAGTGGCTCCCGACTCAGCTTCTTGTTGACAGCCATGAACACGTGCGTCTCATAAGTGTCTATGGTCTTGGACTGACCATCCTTCAACTTTCCTTTTCTTTTCCGTCTTCCTTTCTTGTTGATCCAGAATAGCTGGATCTTTTTGCCTGTCTTGTTCGTGAATTTCACTGTCATTGGATGCTTGTCCTCCCTTGAGTACAGAGCTAGCAAATTCATAACGAAACAATGATTACAATTCAACTTAAATGACTTCATGCTGGGAGCGCTGCGCCCTGCATGACAAACAAAACTTGTGTAGTTTGTGTACCACAAGCAGTCTGCAGTTTATAAAATGAAAACCTCACACTGGGTTTGTATAAAATCTAGACTATGTGTAAAATGCAAACCGCAGACTGGAAATTATAGAAAGCAAACCAAGACAAAAAAGATACCATATATTTTAAACTTTTTAACGAACACCAACGTTGTGCAATCGCCTTGCCATCTTCATCTGCCACAAGACGTTTCCTTCTGACTTGATCATATACATGCAACCTTTGCTTAAACAGAATAACAAGAGGCTCCACGTAGCCTATGCTCATGATACATGTACGATACCGACTACAAACTGTTCTTTCTATGAACAAGACAGTCGAGTCCTAATATTTACAGACTGGTGCGAATTATGCTCATTGATTTTACACTCTGTTAAACCAAACGCGCAAGATATGTACTTTTGTACAGCGTGGCCGAAATAGTAGAACCGCAAGGTAGTCCAGCCGAGTGGTTAGGCCGCCGGACTTAAAATCCGAAGGTCGTGGTTCTGATCACTAGCTGCCGTTGTTCTAGGTAGTCCAGTGTTCAACTCCTCGGCCACGCTTGTAAAAAGCCAACTGGTCTGTTTCCTGTCGGTTGGGATTTGTAACCATACTATGTTCCCTTACATTATTTGTTTCATAATTTCACTGTCTGGTATTGATATCGGTTGCCAAGTGCTTTCAAGTGCTATGCTCATCTTTTCTCTTCAAATCCTTTTTTTCTAAGCTAAGTGATACACCAGGATTGAGTGAGTGAGTGAGTAAGTGATACACCAAAGTTTGAATGCCGGCCGAGTATTCCCATGTAGCAAAGACAATTATGCGATGAAAACACAACGAGCATACAATCTAGTTTTGTAGGATGAGAGTACATAAAGGCATGAAAAGAAAAAATATAGTTTACAATATATCAAAATGGTTTGACAGTGGCTTAAAAAAACGTTCAAACAAACGTTTAGTTAAAAAAAAAACACTAAAAAACTTTCCATTTACAACCGATGAAGACCGAAGTTCTTCGGTCGAAACTTCTTTTTAGAGCTTTTTAACAAAACGGTTGTTTGAAAGTTTTTTAAGCCAGTGCCAGTCAAACCACTTTTTATATATTATCATGAATCCTGGCTGCAACTTTAGTATTTTTCGAATAGAGTTTATCTTTGTCTCCTGTTACAANATAGAGCTTGAGATGGCTAATGTAAAACAGAATATGTAAAGAAAGAAAACTTAGGTCAGAAAATTTGAACAACTATTGCAAATGTTGTAAAACCTTGCTGAAAATAGTCTCCAGAGAAAATGTGTTTCACCCAGAAAGAAGGGTTTTGGCACATAATCATTATCTACTTCAAAACAAGGGAATCAGTGTACATGGGTGAGTGAAAAAAGTCTCATCTGTCAGAAGGAGTCTGTAAACTGTGCGCCAATAGAGAAAAGAAATACCATAAATCACAACTGCTACCAAAGTTTGGTGGAGCGAAGAACAATTGTCTTTCAGGACATTCGGCGATCATTGCTCACACACTTTTTTGGCTGAATCAAACATTAGCTGAAATTATGCCAACCTCCACTCCTTCTATATTAAATCTGCAGTTGATGTAGTTGAAGGACCCATGTTTCTGGCCTCTGAAATCTGCCCATGGATAATGTTCTATAAAGGCCAGACAACTAATGTGGCATTCAATTTCAGCCACAATAACAAAGCGTTGGAAAATTAGACTTTTCCCAAGTCCTCTGGGTACAGTGTAAGACAGCAAAAACATTGTTTCTTTCTAGCAGCGAGGCCACTACATTGCCTTGCTCAACCTTCATATTCAAAGTAGGANGTAAAGAAAGAAAACTTAGGTCAGAAAATTTGAACGACTATTGCAAATGTTGTAAAACCTTGCTGAAAATTGTCTCCAGAGAAAATGTATTTCACCCAGCAAGAAGGGTTTTGGCGCATAATCATTACCTACTTCAAAACAAGGGAATCAGTGTACATGGGTGAGTGAAAAAAAGTCTCATCTGTCAGAAGGAGTCTGTAAACTGTGCGCCAATAGAGAAAAGAAATAATTAGTCCCATAAATCACAACTGCTACCAAAGTTTGGTGGAGCGAAGAACAATTGTCTTTCAGGACATTCAACAATCATTGCTCACACACTTTTTTGGCTGAATCAAACATTAGCTGAAATTACGCCAACCTCCACTCCTTCTATATTAAATCTGCAGTTGATGCAGTAGAAAGACTCATGTTTCTGGCCTCTGAAATCTGCCCATGGATAATGTTTTATAAAGGCCAGACAACTAATGTGGCATTCTATTTCAGCCACAATAACAAAGAGTTGGAAAATTAGACTTTTCCCAAGTCCTCTGGGTACAGTGTAAGACAGCAAAAACATTGTTTCTTTCTAGCAGGGAGGCCACTACATTGCCTTGCTCAACCTTCATATTCAAAGTAGGAAATTAAACATATTCTGAAATTTTGGCTCAAGGGGCTCTGAACACTTCATCTCTATGGGGCCATCATTTTGCTTTTCTAAACAATAATACAATATACAGTACATTGTAATACAATACTTAATTCAAGAGATACAAATAATATGTTAAAATGGAAATCACGAGGTTAGCCCTGTACATGACAATTCCCATAAATAAAAAGTGCACATGACATGTACAATATAAGAACTATTTACAAGCCATAATAAAAAGCAATATCAAGTTTCCAGGTTAAAAATTGTAAATTAAGATATTTACATACTATGTACAATAAGAAATATTCTTAAATTTACTTAATGTCCATATAGGCCTTCAGTCTTCATCTAAACAGAGTCAGTGATCCTGCATGAACAACTTCACTGGCAGACTATTCCATGCATTTATTATCCAGACAAAGAACAAATTCCTAGAGCAGTTTAGGTTGGCTCCTTTTACATAAAGTTTATAGTTGTGGTTGTGGTTAGCTGTAGTCCGAGTATTCTTTGTAAAACTTGGATGTAACCATGCCAACATATTATTCGCAGCCAATCAGTATTTTGCGTCCAAAATATTCAAACTTCAAAGTGGTGTTGGCTTCCTAACCTTCTTCTTGCCATGCAAAGAGCCTGCTTGCATGCTAACAGCAGTGAAAATTTCTCTTGTGTTCATTTTGAAACAATCATTAAGCTTAACGCTCTTTACGCATAGCAAAAGACCCCTTCGTGATGTAAAACTTAGTGGATTTATGTTTATACCATGCAGCAATATTACCACACTCACCTGGGGGTAATACTGTCCAGGGGGTGGAGGTTGGTGCTGCCCAGTAGCTGGATAGTGCCCATGGGGGGGAGGACCACTCATTCTTGCATGTGATGAATTGACCTTGAGGCAATAAATGTACAAGAGTGTAAAATTAAGCATTCAAATCTACACTCATCTAGTCAGGCAGGTCATAAATCATCCTTTGATCATGCAATCTCGTTCCCAGAGTCTTCGTTCCCCTTGACCAGCGTTCGGAAAATGAGAGCTCTGGGGGCAACCATTTCAGGCATGTGCCATAGATGCAGACTGCGCAGTGAAACCGGATGGGCAGAATCACCAGAATTTGGTTACATTTCAAAATGGTTGCTCCCAGAGCTCTTGTTTTCCGACCGCTGGTCAAGGGGAACGAAGACTCTGGGAACAAGATTGTTGATCATGCAGTTTCTACTATTAATTTTCACTGAATAAAGTTTGAGGTGAGATTTGTCCCCATTTTGCCAAAAATTTGCCAAAATGATGAATGAAATTTGACAAAATTTAATTTTGCTTACACTACTTAATTTACTCAGTATGAACAAGGCATATTTCAACATCCCAAACACCTTTTCCCAAATTCCTTCCAAAGATAAAGGTTTGAAATAATTTTTTAATTCTGCCAACTGGGACAAAGATCTAATCTCCTGGTCCTCCATATGGGTCACACAATCTCCCAAATATGAAGGAAAGTGCTTGAAATACCTACTTTCACATTTATTTTGACTGATGTAATAATAGTTTATTGAAAAATCTGAGTATTTAAAACAACAGTGACTCAAACTGTCCTTGAGTAATGTTGTTTTCAAGGTCATAATTTACATCTGTAAGTAACAGTTTTGTACAGTCACACTTTATTAATTAAGCGATATATTTTCTTCCTTCAGAACAATTTGTTTTTACTTCTTTTCCTTAACCCACTGACTCCCAGAGCTTTTTGCCAAAAATGGGGAAAATTTTGGGGATTTTCAGTCTGGATATAGGCCAAATTAGCTCCAATCTACTCAAAAAGGCATTTGAAACATGACAGCATGCCTTTCTTTCCACTAGTCTTACGTTTTACGACATTTTTGTTCAGGCGCGTGCAGAAATCAAAATTTTGAGAGTTTTGTACGAGAAAGTGACCTACATCATTAGGCTTTTCGTTTTTTTTTAATTTTTATTTTGCCTTTCCTTTTTCTCCTTCTGTTATCTTTTTGCTGCAGTGATTCACCTTCCACTGGGCTTGCTTCCAGTTGTATACTTGTGTGTATACTTAATTGGCCACTCCCCATTGGGGCTTTTCAGGACCAATGTAAATGAACAATGATAAATAAATATACAAATAAACATAACTAGGTTAAGAATCCCATCTGGCGGGAGGCAGACCAGTTGGCTATTTACAAGCACAGCTGAGAAGTTGACTTCAGAGCCACCAAGAACAACATCAGCTAGCACTCAGAACAGGATTTGAACACGGGACCTGTGGATTTCAAATCTGGCGCTCTAACCACTCAGCCACACTGCCTCTGGTAAACAGCTATGCATTCCTAAGACACCAAAAACCCTAATTTTCTAAGGCAATGTTATCCTTAACAAAGTTTTGCCAACCAAGTTCTCACACTTGGCAAGAAGTGGTGTTGCTGGTATGGTCAACTTATTTTAACCTCCATTTGGCTTGAAAATGTTCACCCTCGGATATTTGTCCCTGGACATTTCAATTTTATATTCAAGGCCACTCATTTTGGGAGAACTTTTCTCAAGGCTTTTAAACGGTAAAATAATTCAGTGGGCGTCCAAAATAGTCTGCTGAAATTGAAAATGTTTAGTTCTATTCAATATCTCGAGTTACTTGGGATGAAAAAAAAAATCACAAAGTTCGAAAACTGAGCATCATAACATCTCTTGTATCAGACTGCAATCATTTTGACAATTCTGAATCCTTTCAAATATCCTGAACTTGGAGTGATGTCTTCCGAATAAATGAAAAATTCATTCAGCAACTGTCCAAGGCGCATAGCGCTGAGTTGGCTATAATCATCTCATATCCAACAAGCGCAAGTGGAATAACAATAACAGCGCCAAAATATACCAAACAAAATTCAATAAAAAATAAAGGCGCCCCCAAAAAAATCACGCGTACGCCTACCTAGTCGTAGAGCATGGTATAATGGATCATAACCCATGATGGCTAAGCCAATGAAAACTCTCGAATTGCCTTGTCCAATGATCCAGTTTTTAATAACAAGGAATACTCAATAAGAAAATCAATATACATTAGGCTCGGCAGTGTGACAAAGGAGCGAACGGGGCAAACGAGCTGGCTCGTTTGGTGGACGGTTCAAAGTGACCCTGTATTCTGTAGTTTAGCCGAATGTCTTGGAAATCTGCTGTTAATCCCCATTAAACTTACCAGAACAAACCACTAAATCAGTCAATCACATCAGCTCTAGGTGCTATTGCCACGTCGTTTCTGTGAAGGAACAGACCGCATATTTCTGTTCTTAAACGACAAATCTCCTACTCAACTCAATGACATACACGAAATACGTAGAAAGGCCATACCCTAAAGGCAACAAACGACAGTTGTACTTACATGTATCACACAAACATGCCACACCAACTTCGTTGTGTTCGCGTCGTTCGTTCGAGTCTTGTTGGCACAGCATAACCTGGGAACTAGAACTGGCCTGTTTTCATGTGACGTCATCAATTTCAGATTTAGCCAAGGCTAAAAGCGGAGCTACTGATTGCAATAACTAATTAACCATGCATGGGTTTGTTTTTCTCAGATCAGAAACTCAAAAAATGATCAATTGTGAGTATGTAATTGTTCAGCGCGTGGTTTCGCTATTTTTTCCAGTTAAATTTTAACAAACTGACGAGACGACTGTGCAAGGAATATGTCGGAAGAAAACTCAAAAATTCGCCACGGATTTTCGTCGGAATTTTGCCTTTGCACGTACTCCCTCCTTCTCTCCCAAAGCAATAACCTGTCTCTAAACCTGAGCCCATGATATGGTCACGTGATACTGGTCAGCGGATGGCTCGGTTTGACAGCTGTCAATTAACCATAACATGGATACCCATGGTAATGGGATAGGGGCTAAAAGTACTCACGAGTGACCACGACTGACCACGAATGACCACGAGTGACCACGAATGGCCAAGAGTGAGATTACATTAAAAAAAGTCAGTGATGTTATTATGACGTCATTATGAAATCATTGTAAGGTCATTTCATCACGATGATAACATTTCCACCAAACTGAGGCTATTTACAGCAGTGGCTGTGCGTTCATAATTTCATTTTTCAGCTCCTTTACAAATATTGGCTGTTGAGCTTATGCTCTTTCATGCTTAACCTTTTTCATTCGTGAAAGCGGAGAAAAATCCGAGCGATTTTCTCAAACGGAGTGAGGCTCAAAACTTCAGGCGCGGACCGTTGTATATATTTCCTGAACGGCGCCGAGCTATAAAACATTCGATGGTGCAAAAGGTTCACCACTCCCTAGATAACCCGCTGGCTAGTTATAGAAGACGACACAACTCGGTTAAAATAAATCCATGGTGATGGAAATTTACATCAAACCATCAGCCTCCGGTTATGCTTTAATTCTCTTTTTGATCATTGTTATTTCTTGTTTTAGCATTCAAATTGGTTTCATAGCCAGAAATTGGATTCGCTCGTAGTAAGTATATTTCAAATGCTTTTCCTAAGTAAGCCCACACGGGTCCCTTCCGCGGCTATCAATAAATTTAGTTACAAGTAGCTATCTGAAAGCTAACATGTTTGGCGGGGTCACTTGCAGCTCGAGATACTGCTGTGTTGTCTCTAATTAAGACGGAAATGACTGACGGAGTAGCAGCAAACATGATATATTCTAGATCTTTTAGTTAGATTTGGGGTTTTGACCACAACTATAAAGAACTCAACATGTCTTATTTCAGAGCAGCTTCTAGCAAGCAAGACCATTTACGATTGTTCAGTCTCTAGGCATCGCTTCAAGTTCTTCTTTGTGTTTTCGCTGCTTATGTGTTTAATGGAGCCGTGTTTCATGGCAGCAATGTTTCCGCAATAGAGGTCGCCGCGGCCCATTCGGTTGAGGAAGGCTTGCACTTATTTTATGGGTTTTTGTCGCATATAAGTACCGAGGTTTCTTTTTTTATATACATATTTTATTCTAGATCTAGCTCGTTTAACTCGGCTCTGTGATACGTTTCGCTTCTCCCTCTCAGCGAGTTAAACTCTTTTTTATAAGAATATTGTTTTCCCAGCCAAGGCTAGCTGAATATTCTGATTTTTCTGCCGAATTTAGACTGAAAATATTCTTGTGAATATTCTAAGATTCTAGCATATCACATATCTGTTTTGGAATGTATTTGGTGTCTGGATGGTGTTAAACTAATTTTGGAGCCAGCTGCAGCCTGCTATCACGCACAAAGCTTCTCGCACTGAGAAATGTTATCAAACATACGGCTAGTGCTGTTTTTGTTGCTTTTTGGTCAAGGACGAATTTTATACGGTTAGGTTAAAAACATATAATTGTATTGTGTTTACAAATATTTTTAGACGCAAAATTATATTCTTTTCAAAATCGCTGCCTCGAGTTTATTCTTAAAATATTCTTAAAATTGCACAAAAATCTTTACCTCGATATTCTTGTAAAACATATTCTTATAAAAAAGAATGAGTGTATATGCAATTAGTGGAGGCGTTAGGACAGGAAGCCACAACTGTATTACATGAAGCGCTGGTCGACAGTACTGTTGTGGATCGACGTTTTACAGCAAAATAAAACAAGCAAAGCGGCGCAGATAATTTTTTGATTGTCTTAAACTCTATAAAAGTTATTTTCATACAGATCACGAAAGAAGGAATTGAGCTGCAGTGTATCCAAATTTGGTAACTTAATCACAAAGGTACGCAAAATCACTTTGAATGTGAGGTCATCTCGTACTGTGTGTTTCGGGATCATTTTGCCTAAATGAATGTAGAGTCAATGTTCTCTCCAACGTTTACCTAACGTTCTCTCTCGTCTCATCTCAAGCCTTGCTCACTTTTTTCTTTTCTGCTATTGTATTCTACTAAAACATTGTCCAAGTAGTCTGCAGATACACTTGACCACGTCTCATGGCTCCAAGCCCGCTTTCAGTTTGACATTGTTTTGACATAATTTATGACCATGATAGCTACAGTGCGGTCAGAACGCCCACTTCATATCAAGAGTATATGATTGGCTTTCGCACTTTTGGATGACGTAAGGCCGTTTATTTTGAGACAGTTGCTACTCCCTCCTGTTGTGTGAAGTCTCCTGTTGTCTCTAGTCTCAATTTGCATTCGCTCACAGTAAGTATATATATCAAACGCTTTTCCTAAGTGAGCACATACGATTAGATCCACTATAGACACACTATAGTCACAAGGAGCAGGCATCTGAAAACTCAGTGACATGTTTTGGCCGCGGGGTTGTTCACAAACCAAGACATTGATAAGTTGTTTCTAGTTTTAAATAACATTCAGTAATGAAAAGGAGTCGCAGCAAATATGTCCTATTAGTTTAAGGGTCTTGACCACGACTTTAACGAATTTAAAATGTCTTATTTCAGAGCAGCTTTGAACAAGACCATTTACAACTGTTATCGCCATGCGTGTGATCAAGTTCTTGATTTTGTTTGCTCTACTTCTTTGTTTAATGGAGCCATGTCTGGTGGTAGCACGAGGCGGAAGGACCGGTTGCGGGGCTTTCATAAGGTTTGCAGTCATTTCATTCCTTAATTCTCATATATGTGCCAAAGGGTGTTTTGATATAGACATTATGTTCCTAGCTAGCTCGAACTCTCTTCTCAGGACTCTGCTAAATGCATCTCTCTTCAAGCCCCTTCTCAACGGGTGATACAATTAGTGGAGACGTAGGCAACAGGACTAAAATACATTGCAAAGTTGGCTTAAGTTTAATGAAGTAATGAAGCTTTACATTCAATAAAATAAATCAATCAATCACTTTATTTAAGCGTTGAAGTGGTTTAATACTGCTGTACTAATTGTGGACACTGACATAAGCAAACAAATACTGTAAATTAAACGGAAACTTGTTAAAAATCCCAACTGGCAAGAGGCAGACCAGTTGGCTATGAAGTCTGGTGTCTTTGTTGTGGCTTCTAGTTAAAGTGTTTCTCCGCTAGTTAATTAGCTTCTCATCTGATCATCAGGAGCGAATAGTTATATTCAAGTCTCTTCGTTAGCGACGTACACAAACCAGCGTCCGTATTCTGCTCTGGTAGTCACTGAAACGACAATATTTATTCCCTAGATGCAAGAGAGAAGTTGAAAAGGAAGTACATCAGGCCAACACCAGGATTAAACGATCGCTGTTTTCGACGCTGAAGAAAAAACGAACACTCGCTGCACCACCCCAAGGCAAAATGGTAGACGAGACAATTCGATTAAAGTGAGTTCATGGTGATGTAAATTTACATCACGCTAGCAGCAGCCGGTTATGCTTCATCTCATTTGGATCACTGGATGAAATAGACTAGATGACTATATACAATTTTCATTTTTTTTTTTTATTAAAAGTGATCCGATTGTTGTTGTAAACAGATTGTCAAATAATAGCTTAGGAGATAGCAATGGTGTCAAAAAAAGTGTAAAATTTGTGGTGGTTCCATTATCTGAAGTTTCTGTCTTGATCCCGGGGCATTCAATAACTTGCTGACGCGTATACTAAGTAATTTAGAGATCTGTCATTGAAGTCTATTACACTGTCAAATCACGCCACTTTT